GTTCTGGTTTGAGGGTGCAATCTCCATTAAATTAAAAAAAATCCACAAATCTGAAGGGCAGATTCACAAACCCTCTCTGCTGCACTCTGAGGAAAGGCAGGGGCTTGTCACTGTCACATTTTCTGAAAAATCCCTTGCCCAGGATTCTTCTTCTGGGAAGTCTCAGAGGAAAAGGAAAACAATATTATCTCATCTGCTTCTCCTGTGTTTTTCTGCTTTGGAATGTGTTTGGAGATTGTTTATCCAACAGATCATTGTTTTATTGGTTTCATGTGCCTTGTTTTAACTTAATGACCAATCATGGCCAGGCTGTGTCAGGGCTCTGAAAGGAGTAATGAGTTTTTCATTATTATCTTTTAGCCTTCTTTAAGTATCCATATAATACAATACAATACAATATATTGTAATGTAATATATTGTAATGTAATGTAATAGAAATCAGCCTTCTAAGAAGATGGAGTCAGATTCTCAATTCCTCCTCCATCTGGGGAACTCAGAAAATACCCCAGGGGCTGGCAGTGGTGCCAGTGCAGTTCAGCAGTGGGTGCTGGTGCTGGGCAAGTGCTGCCCAGGCTAACTTTAGCCCAGACACTCTAATCCCCCTGGCTAAATTAGGTTTGTGCTGAGAGCTGCCCTGGCCAGATCCCTCTCTCAGATTAGGCTTGGGATCAGCAGCTGCCCCGTGGGAGGGAGCTGCAAACACTCCTGGGTTCCCAGAGTCAGCCAAGGTAGGGGGTACAACAAAGTCACCTTCTGGTACCTGTGGCATTTCCCAAGTCTTGATGTCAGCCAAGAGGAAGAGCCTTTGGATCTCAGTTTCCCCAGCACCTCAGTGTTGGGAAGGATGGAAGTTTGATAAGGAAATCTCACAGATGTGTGTGCTTAGCAGAAAGATTTTTGAACATAGAATCTGAAGAAGGAATAGAAATGAACGCAAGTTTTGATATAGAAGAAAAGAACTGGTGAGCCAGCCTAACCAAGGAGGCAAAGGGTGTGTTAGTTAGAAGGGATTTTTATGGCTTAGAGCAAAGGATAAACCCACCTCAAACAAAATGTTTTTACCAAGCAGGAAGATAGCACAGGCAAAAAAGTCAGCAAAGCTGCAAGCAGAAAAAAGGTCTCAGAATTTTCCACTGCAAGAAAACTGAAAAATAACTTCTAGCCTTAACTGCAATGTACTAACTTTTAGTGATTGGAGAATAGTAACATGAATATGGTAATTACAGTGGTTATGATAGGCTATAGATTATAGATTGGTTCTGCTGTATTAAGATGCTCAGCAAAGTAAAGTATATAATGCAATGTAACCAAAGGGTCTCCAGGCCTGCCTGCAGCTGGAGCTGACAGCTGTGGGCACAGCTCTGTCACCCACCACCCTGGGCTGCTGTAACATCTAGGATCCAATAAACTGCATTTTGGATCCAATAAGCTGCATTTTGGAGAGCTGTCTGGAGTCCCACAGCCCTCATTCCAGCTCTCACACCCCAGATCAGTTCAGTGCAGCTCCTGCCCCTCTCTGCCCTCCCCACATCCCAGCCCAGGGCTGCAGAACCCATCCCTGCCCTGATCCAGTGCCTTCCCTCTGAGCCCCATGACATCCAACCCAACCTTGGCAACCAACGCTGCATTAATTCTGCTGCAAGACATGGCACCTTGCAACCATCTTAAAATAAAGACAAAAACTGGGAAAAGGCAGAAAAGGCTGGTGTGGGAGCAGGGATGAGCAGCTAGAAGGGAGTGGTTGGGATGGGCTTCCTCTCCAGCAGCAGAGGCAGCTCAAAGTATTTATATTTATAAAGCCACAACCTTTGTTTCCTCAGTGTCTTGCAGAACCCCATTTTCCACTTGCAGCTTGTGTATGCCAAGCTCCCTGCTCCAGTATTCCCAACTGAGCTGTGCACAAATATATCTAAAGGCCAGAACAAGCTTGTTAGAGATACTCACAGGAGTTTGGAAAAGGCAAAGACTTGTAAGAGTCTATTAAAAGTCTTCAGAATCAGCAGTAAAGTTTACTGTAGGTTGACTGAGGATTAAAATTTTAGTGCATTATTCATCTCCAGGAGTGGAATTTTGCCTTTCCCTGGGTTTCATGGACCCCTCTGGGTAAAGCTGCCTTCTCACAACATTTTTTTCATTAGAGCCTCCAATGCTTACTGAAAAATGTCTTTTAATTTTGCCTTTTCCTCAGCAAAGACTTCCAAGTTTGCTGAAATATTGAACTGTGATTTTAATGTCCTAAAGGGGCACTGGTATCTCCAGTGCCCACTGCTTTTATGGCAGAAGTTCAAAGCTCAACACATTCCAAACAGGCTGTCAGAGGAGGTGGAGCATCCTGCCTGCTCAGCTGCATCCTGCTCCTGGGAAATTTGATTTTGCTGCACCATTTTAATTATCCCCATTGCAGCTACAACAAGCAGAAACAACAGAGATAGTGATTAAAAATCAAATTAAGGAGTGGAATTTTCTATGAGAAAATATTTGCATGCTTTCACTGAATGTTGTGGATTTTCATGATAGACATGGACAGAAATGATGCTTCAATGTTTCACTGACTTTTTACTCCTTGTCCTCTCACTCTAGTTTGATAGATGTGCAGTTTTTTAAGGAATTGGACAGTGGTTAAGTGGAACTGCACTGAAAGCTAATATCAACTCAAGTCTGAGAATGGGATTAATGCATAAAGCATGGCTGCAACTGCTTCTGGAATTCTTGATGGTCTCAAACGTACAAGTTATTTAATTCTGCTGGAAGAAAAAAAAACCAACAAAAAAACCCAAACCAAACCAACAACAACAACCACCAAACAAAACCCCAAAACCACCCAACCAAAAAAAAACCCCAAAACCAACAACAACACCAAAAAAACAAACAAAAAACCCCAAACCAAACAAAAAGAAAAATCACAACTCAAAATGAGCAGTATCACAAGAAATACATGAACAATAAAATTACAAATGCATACTGTGAAATAATCTAAAGTAGAGTTAATGTGATCCTTATACTTTTTGATTTTCTACTTGCTCTCTTTTTCTCCATATTCAGATAAAGAAAAAACAAAACATGCCCAATGAAAGGAAATTCTAAACTGCTGTAGTCTTTTCTTCTCACAAGGCCTTGTTAGCCTAAGAGCTCATAGTTCTAACAGTGTCATAAAAAAAAATTTAAAAATTGAGGAATCCAAATGTTTGCAACCACCACATTCAGAGGTGGTTCATTCATATTCACCAAATTTGATATCAAATTCACCATATTTGATACCCAAAACACCCTTTTTGGTATCATGCACAGACCTGGCTGCATAGAGGCACTCCCAGCCAAAACAGAGCTGCTAAAACCCACAAAATGGCAAAAGGCAGAGAAGAAGTTTTCAGAATTCCATGAGAATCCTCCAGGTTTCCATGACATTCCAACTGTATTTCTGGATAAAGCCTTTTCTGAGTACTTCAGTCTGCAGTAGAAAGGGACATGGGTCAGCTGTACACTCCAGTATGACCCCAAGCTCAGTCTCCAGTTCCCAAATGCACCTGAAAAAGCAGATCCTGTCCTCTGAGATGGAAACCTAGCCATGAAGCTTGGCTTCATCTCTCCACAGATTTCTCTCACTACTTTTCCTCTTCTGCTCATTGTCATAAAACTCAGGGTTTCTTTCTGAGCTTGTTCCATCTTCTTACCACTGCTGTTCTTGGTAAACAGGACAGCACCTCCGTTCTTTAGCAACAACACTTCTTCACTCCACAAAAGGAAGTTTATGCCTTCTGAATAATCCCAGAAATCCCTTACAGTGCAACACAGTGAGAGAAATCCAATTCTGCCAGCATTACTTGGTGTAGATGTAACCAGAAGAGAGGGCAGTGAAAAGAAACCCTGAATTACCTCAATCCTTGTCTGCTTTAAGATAAGCCTCAGCTTGTCAAGCATAATGCCAATACTAGTTTTTGTAAGTACCCAGAATTAACAGATGCTTTAAAAAATATGCCTTTAATTTCTGTAAATTGCTCTGACAAGTAATAAATAAGAATGTTTTTAAAACTTCTACTCACCTTTTTATAAATAAAATATTTGCCCCATAACTAGAAAATCTATTATCCAGGCAGCTTGAGATGCTTAAGGATTATTTTTACCCACTAATTACAGAAGTTCTAAATGTCAAATGAGGTCTTAACTATGTATCCTCATCATCTTTAAATTGCACTCTCAGATAACCCAACATCACAGACACCAATTATGCATGTATTTAGTTTCAAACTCTGTTGTGTAGATTGCAATATCTTCCACACCAGTTCATTCTGAAATAATACAAATTAACTCAGTAGAATCCCATCAATTATAAAGGCTACAGGATTAGAATTTGCTATCTTTAAGGTCTGCTTTTCCTGGTATCTGCTCAACACATTGATTTCACTGAAGCTGCAAGAATCATAAACTAACAACAGGCACAACCAGAGGGTGATTTGTTGTCTATCAGTTAATTAGTGTAGGGAAACTCCAGCAGTTTCTTGGGATTATTTGCTTATGTGAATAAAGAAAGTACCTCTTGACTTGTTTTTTCCCCTATGTATTTAGAGCTTTTCCCAAGAAATGGCAGCAAATCCCCCCTACCCATGCATGGGGCAGGAGCAACTGTTTGACTCATTAAAACTCTAAAGTATTTGAATTGAATAATTACAGAGTAATTGAAACCTGCAGCCAAACTGACACTGAAGAACCTTCACAGATGAGGCTGAGTTGTGCCTACATCAAAGCCCACAGTAAAGAAGATTGAATAATCATTCATGGATTACAGTTTGGGTTCTCTGCACCCACAGAAGAAATGCCTCCTCAGCAACAACTGTGGATTCCTAAACTGTAGTAAACTGGCACTCCAGCAGCAGATGCTAATAAAATATACATAAAAATCCTTTCAATCATTTATTTTAGTGGATTTAAAACCTCATGTGTCTTCTGCCAAGTGTAAAAACATTTTCAAGTCATACAAACGAAAGATATAGCCCATGGTGCAATAAAATGAAATCAGCACATTGGAGGGATTATCCATTTTTATTTTCTTTAGAAATGGATCAATGGAATTACTGTGCTCCAGGAACACACTTAAAAAAAAATTTACACCAGGTAGCATTTCCCTTAACAAATTTTCACATCGCTTATAATTATGCAGATTGGACCTGGAATAATAGAAAGATGAATCCAGTGTCACCCCAGAGTTCTGTGACAGCCAAGTACATTCACAAACCCACCCCCCCACCCCAATTCCTCAAACACCTGCAGAATCCCATCTCTACATCTAGCTAAAAATATTCTTGTCAAAATAGAAAAAGAATTTCCTACAAAAATTTTAGGGGAAGTCATGACACTTCTTCTAAATTGCCTTGCAGACAGCTAAGTACGACGATCAGTCTTCCAGAAAAGCTCCTTTTGCAGGATTTCAGGCGGATTTTGATGTTCCTAAAAATAGTCCAACATTGCCACCATGTGGTGAGGGACGGCTCAGGGAAAAGCAGGGACAAACATCTCGGCAATGAGGAACCACCGCGAGGGAAAAAGGAAACTGGATCCTGAGAACTGACTCCTCATGCCGGGAAAACAACTCTAAGCATGGACCAGGGTAAGAAAAATAAGTTAAGATATTTTGTGAATAATTCTTCAGCGTTGTGACGCTCCCCTCACTAAAGGCACAATCCATTTCTGCTCACTTTTATCTCAGTACAGCACATGTTTGCCAACAAGGAAAATCTAACTGTATGCAAAATGCCTAAGACCATTCATTTCTTCAAACATAATCATACTTGAAAATTCCAAAATCTTCTTCCTGGAGTTTAGGAAGCTGTGGAAATTTATTTAAGAGATGATCTTTCACATAGGCTTTTTCATTGCTGCCTTCCTCACGCTGAAGAGATATGCTTCATAAATAATGTTCAAGAAGTTGTCATCATTCTGAAAAACAAAAAAAACCCAACAGGTAATTGTTAGCAGGATAACTGGAGTAAAGAGATTAGAAGGTTATTCCATCTTATGGACCTGACACTTTTTAATCTTACTCTTTTTTATAAAAGGGAACAATAGCAAAGCCTTTTCTTTCACTGAAGATCTGTTTTATTTCCCATGACTGCACCTCAGCAATGAGTACACAGAAAGAAGATTTTCTAAACTCACAGTGCATTTAAATTGAGTCCAGTATTGTTGCATAATAACTCGGTGACAATACTGAAATGACAGCCCTATTTCTCTTCTTTGCCCTCATTTATCTAGGGACTTCCTTAAGCTCTGTTCTCTGTCAGGTCAGGGATGATTCCAAGCAGGTTTGAAGGAATAATGAAACACTCTGGATTGTGATCCTACACCAAAATCCTACCTGGGGAAATCCTTGCATCTTGTTTAATCCTTGCATCCCTAAGGGATGCTGTCCTTTTGCTCTGATGCTAAACTTTTCCCTTCTGAAGAACATTTTGCAAGAATGAGTCAGCCCACATCAAGAAAGAATAAGTAGCTCACATAAACACATGAGGATAATTACAATCAAGATAATATTTAAGGAAAATTAGGTGCATCCAAGATTGTAGTTTTATATAATGGAAAATGACAGCTAACAAATTGGCAGTGAATAATTTCAAGGTAACTCAGTTAATCCTAACTACCACCAAGAATAGCAGGGTTAAATATATATTTTACAAGTACAAAGTTAGAGGGTAACCCCAATTTTCCTTGACTAGTTTTTCCTCTTTAACTTCATGTACGGTTTTAATAGTATCCAGACACTCAAAGTAGGTAAAGGCAAGATAATGTGATATTTTTTTAATCCCAAAATAAAAGTAGAGGGAAAAAATGAGAAAGCCCTCCAGCTTATTAAAGATACTATTTATTTTCTGAAATTGTAAAATAAATAAAATTTTAAGTAACTTACAATAATGACTTTTAATTTTATTCCAAAGCCATACAGACACATAGTTTTGACCTATTAACTGGATGTGTTTCTCTGTCCCTTGTGTTCTGCAGCCAGGTTTTTAGTTATGTAATCACTCCTCAACTTTTACTCTTCAGATATTACTCACACAGCAAATTAAGGAAAAAAAAAATCATAATTATGCATCACACCAAAGCAGTAAACAATCATCTTATATATAACATTGTTAATGCTTTGTCACAATTAAACCTGAAAAACTGCAAGAAAAGGAATTTTATTTCCTGTAATTTTCTATTTCAAATGCTAAACTGAATTAACATACACTCATGTTATGTAGCCCATATTTTAAAGTTGCTCACACTCATCCTGCAATTTTAATCTCCCATCTGAATTCCTCTTACTGCTAACACACATCTCTGAAATATTTGGCAGCTAGGATAATCACCCATTATTTATCCTTGGCCAAAAATATAACAGATGTCTCTCTGGCTCAGAGGCTGACCTTACAAAGCTTTCAGTCATCTTTGTTCTCTCCCACCAAATTTATTACCTTTCCTGAGCCCCAAATCAGATGCATCAATCAAAACACAGCGCGCAAGGAGAGCCTGGCACAAGCAGCCCAACTTCCAACACTTATTTAATTTCAGAATTAAATTCGGAATTTAGCCAGACACAACGAGTACAGGGCGCTTGTCTCAGGGCGGGCAGCAGGATTTGGAGCGGCACGGTACCTGGATGAGGTGCAGCAGCGTTTCCTGCAGCTGCACCTTGGAGATGGAGGCGCCGCAGGGCGCGGCCGCCTCGGCGGGCAGGGGCAGCAGCAGGCTGCCCGAGCCGGGCTCGGCGCTGCCCAGCCGGCCGCTCTCGGCAGCTCTGGGCGCAGCGGGCGTGGGCTGAGCGAACACCATGGGCGACATCAGCAGCGTGGGGCTCGCCGTGGCAGGGATGCGCTGCGGGGAGATCACCTGGGCAGATAAAAACACGGGGGTCAGGTAAAGCTGTATGCGGGGAGATCACCTGGGCAGATAAAAACACGGGGGTCAGGTAAAGCTGTCTGCTCAATTCTGCGGGAATGGGGATGGGGAGAACTGCACAGAGATCAACACTGTGATGTACAACTCCAGCTCCACACCACCTCTAGGATCTACTTCCAGATGAAAAGGTCTTCCACCCAATCCGAGATTGCAGACATGGATTCAAGCGTTATAAATCTGATAGGCAAATGATCTTAGGACAACAGGAATCAGACCACTATTAAATATTAGCACTTAGAGAATGCAGCAGTAAAATCTTCCACGCAGGGACTACAAGTCAGGAAGTTTAATCTTTGAGAACATGAGACATGCAAATATCACTGTTAAAGACTAACGCCTGTGTGACTGTCATACTTTCTGGAAAAATCCCTTTGCCCGGGATTTTGCTCCTGGAAGATGAGAAGCCTCAGAGGAAAAGGAAAACAGTAATTATCTGATTTGCTTCTCCTGTGTTTTGCTCATGTGGAATGTGTTTGGAGATTGTTTACCCACAGGCGATTGTTGCATTGGTTTCATGTGAATTGTTTTGACTCATTGGCCAAGCTGTGTCAAGACTCTGAAGAGAGTCATGAGTTTTCATTATTATCTTTTTAGTCTTCTGTAAGTATCCTTTCTGTATTCTTTAGTATAGTTTAGTATAGTATTCTTTTATATAATACAATATCATAAAATAATAAGTTAGCCTTCTGAGAAGATGGAGTCAGATTCATCATTCCCTCCTCCATCTGGGCACCCACAAATACAATACCCCTATACCTAATACTAGAAAGCGTTTTCTAATTATAACTCTCAAATTACTTTATAAATAAATATATACATGTATTTTACCTTCTCATTTTACTTAAGGACAGAGAAAACAAAACTATAGATTCAGTGATTTAGCTAAAGATCCATAGTGAGGTCATGGCACTGCCAGAAACAGAACAGACACACAACCATTGACAAAATCAAAGTAGCCCTCAAAAAGAACCTTGGTGCTGCAGCAGCTCCCTCAGTATCCTAACCACACTAATCTGCACATCTGCCAAATAATTTTCACCTTCAAGTTTTGCAGTGAAACTTGGAACTGTAAATCATGCAGGATTACCAAATACTAACAGATATAATATTAGCAAATACTATATATGTAATATACAACATAACGAAAGTTAAATCATTTAGCTTGCAGACATCAGATCTCTCTCCAGGTAATTCCAGTAATAAATCTTATCCTAATTAGCCATCTTCTTGCTATTCAAGTATCCAATCTTTTTAAAGTACATACAAAGGAATTGATACAAGCTCACCAAAGCTCCTCCCATTTGGACTGGAGCATGATTTATTGCTCCCATACTAACGTGAAAGGCTATTGGATCACTTCACTCTGTGTCCTGGATTACATATCAGTTTTGAAGAAAAATTAAGGTTAAGAAAACAGAACTGAGGTTGATTTCCTAGGTATGCAAAGCCACACAGATTAGCATTAAAGAACAGTCACATTTTTGTAGCTTGTCTCTCTCCTACTTATCATTGTTCTGTCCAAGACATTTCTGAACAATTTTTGTGAGACCATGATACAAAGACAAATAGAAACAAAGAGGACTGAGATTTCATGCTGTTTTATGGAAAATTTAAGGAAGCAGAAAGGCTAGGGGTCAGGAAAGAAAGCATTCAATATACACCTAACACAAAAGTCTCACTTTTCCCCCTCCCAACATTTACCCAGTTAGGTAAATATTGTGTCTGTTTCTCAAACACAGATTGTACTACACAGAGTACTACAAATCTCTAGACTGCAGCTTTCTTCCAACCCCACAGAATGTAATCAAAACAGCAATGGCCAGGTCTTGCTCCAAGCCTCTCACTGAGCGGAGGTATTACAAACTGACTGAAGGTTTGCACACTTATGCTTGAAAAACAACACTCATTTTAGAGGAAAACCAGTGTGAGTCCAAAGTGACATCCCTCTGTAGAGCGAGACCTTCAGCCTGTGCACAGATCTGTGGAACACCAACTACCCCCAGATACTCATCCCAATGCTTCTGCTCTCCTCATCCACGCTGCTGCAGCAACTTCTCTTTCATTTACCTCCAGCAAAATTGGCAGGGCTTGCTTAAACAGGATGATTCTTCCTAATGTGATTGCAAGAATGCATACACAAAACTGCTGTACAAGGGCAGAAACCTCCTGCAAAGGGAAGGTTGGGAGCAGCTGGAGGAGATGCAGTGCCCCACTAACAGAGCTTCATCTACAGCAGACTCTGTCAGCCCCAGATAACACAGCCTTCCAAATCTAAAGACATTTTTCTCATTTGCCCAAGGCAAACAAACAAAACCTGAGACAAACTGTGCCTTTAATAATACACAGCTCCTCCTGACAAACACATGTTGTGGTTTAAGAGACTCATGAAGAATGCTTTGTCTTCTCTGGATAGAAAAGTACATATTGGTAGGACATGCCAAGCATATGGAAACTGTATGGAATGAGCAATATTGCCATCTGCTGGTGACACAGCCAACATCCACAGGTCATGCACAACTTCAAACACTGTCAGAAGAAGAATGGAGTTTGTGTCTTTTTTTAGTGCAGAGCATTTATGTCTGTCCTCAGTATTACAATGTATTTTTTGCTAACAGCACAAGCTCAAAGCTTCTGCCATTGAACAAATCTTTACATAAAAACCATGGATTGTTTGGGGTTTGTTTTAAAAATAAAGCAAAACTTTCATTTGAGACTCAGCTCAGATCACCTGGAGTCAGTGGGACAACTGTCACCCACCAGCAAACAGGATGCTGAGCTTGGCACTACCAGTGCAATTCCTGTAACACCAAGCTTTTGCAGAAGGTACTGTAAATGCTCTGTAGCCTTTGGACCAATCTTTTACCTTTGAGTAACTTCTCACCATTCATAAGAGCCCTTCCAAAATTCTGTTGATCAACTTCTTACCCACAGAAACCGAACTGCTTCTTCCTCCATTATCTCCAGCTGTCAGGTCAACACTTAAATCTCTGAGTCACTAATAACAGAGTAGGAGTCTGCCATCAGCTGTGCAGCAAAGAACAAAAAAATGTGCAGAATAACTGGTGCAGTATCTAACATCCCTTCCCTGAAGCCCAAATGCTCACTAAGATGTCAGACTGGTGCTCTGTGTGGCTGTTGGCAGCTGGATGATACCAAATTCACAGATCTCCATGAACCAAGGAGTGCACTGGGTCTCCTGCAATGCAAACTGGCACCTGCTGTGGCTTCCTATATGGACAGAATTCCCAGGTGGAGCAAGTGGAACATCAGCACCCAGTGTGTGTGCTGTGGGCCTAAGCAGTTTGCAGAGGCATTGCTTACAACTGAGAACATCATTCTGAGAATGGTTTAGGAACTTTAAAAGCAGTTAATTAAAACAAAGCTGGCTACAACGCTAACATTCCTTTGTCTTTCAAGTTTAATTTAGAATATTTTAATTGATGTTTAGCTACAGAACCTAAAATTACTTCTTGAAACAAGTTTAATGCACCTATTTGCATTATAGAATTACTGAAACTGCAGTCAGGACAACAGAGAAGCAGTGCTGTGATGCTCACACCACACACACTGGGGTTTCATGCACATACTCAGAAGATGTAACATTATGTACAAAATACATTCTTGATGGAAAAATGCTCCAAGAAATATGAAAAACAAGCTGTGAGACACGTGGCCTTCTGAAGAAATGATAAATTTGTGTCTGGGTTATTGTAAGCAGTTTTAAAACCATAATTCTGATTAACACTTAAGCATGCATGTACCTATAACCAGGATAACACATCCCTAACACTAAACATACCCCTAAAAGCCCACTGTAGATTAATGCTTTTTTATTGTCTCTTAAGCACACGTTACTCACTGTCTGCATAAGGAATATTTCACAAAACAGGGCTGGCACCACACCAGGCTCAATGCTTCCAAGTATTATTCTTTGGCTTTTGCGTTTTCCATTTTTTTCTTTTCCCATTTTTTGGTAACTGGTCTCTTCCTTCTCATGTGGGAGATCACAGTTCTTGTACCATATGGAGTTGCAGCAGAAGCCAATTTAAACTTGGACTTGTAATGTGTCAGTTGTGGAAAGGACTATTGCTTACATTTTCTTAGTGCTGCTGATGGATTGAGGGTGTTCCTTTAATCTGATTTTTCCAACAACAGACACTGCTCAGATACCTCTCTATTCCTGTCAGACTTTTGCTTTTTCTGTATGCTGAAGCATAGTAGGAGAGGCAATACCAAAAGACAAATAATTACAGAGAACAAACCTTTTGCTGCACTTGTTGTCAGAATCTGCTTTGATCAATTTTGCATGAGCATGTGCAGATATATTTGTGCCAATTCAATTTCACTCAAATATCTACTCTGCAGGCATGGCAGCACTTGAAGCCCCTGGTCTACTGCAAGGATAATATTATAAAAAGATTAATGTTGGTTTTAAAGGTTGGTTTTTATCTTCCAGGTTGTTTTTCAAAAGCAGGCTTGTTTTGTGTGCCTAATTCATGGCTTCCAAAGGAACAGAGTCCTTCCTTCATTTTTAGCCTCCCTGCTTTTGCTTTAGTGCAATCTGCTGCATGTGAAAGAGGCCATTCCTCCCAGACTGCAGAGCTTTAGGTGTCCTAAGCAATAATTAGTAGCACTTTCATTATCATTTTTAGTCTATGCACTAAATCTCCAAATTTAATGCATCTAATATTGTGTTGATAGCAGCTGTGGCAGCCTGGGAACTCCTCAGCAGCCTCAGCCTCCTTGTTCTGCTCACAGCCCTGCAAAGGAAGACTGCGAATCTCAGCTGCTGCCTTTTTTTTTAAGGCAAACTTGCAGCAATAATCACAGTGAATGAGCCTTGCTCCAGAGAAGACTTTTCTGTTCTATCCATACTCAAGCAGTCAAAGTGCTGCAATTGCATTAGACCCAGACCTCAGGAACTGCCTTTCCATATTGCAATTAATACTGGCACCACTGTCTTTTTCATATATACAAAATTAAAGTCATTTGCCATAGCAACATCTGTAGGGATTTTTCATCTGAAAAATATATCAGCATATTTCCTTATTTTTTATTCATGCATACTGACTTACAGTTTAGAGCCTGGACTTGCCTCATTTCACTTTTACCTCCATTATGTCCTTCCTCATGCTATCAGTACATGTACCAGTGAATCACACAATTTCTTACATTTAAAGCAGGCAAGTTCCATTCCCAGTGAAAACAAATCAATTTGTTTGACTTTGGATCCTCCTTTTATTCTTTAGCTCTCCACCGGAAAGTCAAAGTTACCATCTGCAAGCAACTGATTCTGAATAATTTCAATGACTAATCCCCAAAAAACTCTTTCATACAGATTCAGATCCTACTGCATTAATTAAAAGAACAAAAATAATGATGGCTATTTGCTGTATCAAATTAATATTCCTCCCACTTCTCTCATGGAATTAGAAAACTTGACCTGTCACAAACTTAGTGACAGATGTGGCTCTTTTATTATTAAATGAACTCTTTCAGACTCTTCATGTATAGAGGAACTTTCTAGCATCTTGAAATATCCTGTAGTCTTTCAATCAGGTTTGACAGAATTAGAAAAACAGAATGAAAGAGAAAAACAGAAAAGAGAAATTAAAAAGAGAATAGAACAGAAATACAATAATGGAATAGTCACAATAGAAAAGCAGCTCTTCAACTTTACACTGGAAAGAGGAATACTTGGCATCAGTAATTTCAGACTCCAGTATCCTACAGCCTATCCCCAAAAAAGGAAGCTGAAAAGGGCTTAGATGCATTCCCAGACAGGACATGTAAAGACATTCTAGTGCAGAAAATCCTACAGAAAATGAAGTTGTTAAAGCCAGTAGTTGTTTTAGATGGGACATTCTGTAATTGCACATGTTGCTTTTCTGAAGAACATAAAACTGTACTCAGAGAGATACAGTCTCTTAACATCTCCTGAATTTTTTAAGACACCAATCTGACTTCTGGGATCAAAATAAAAGAGAATTTTTTAATGCCATTCAGGCACAAGACCTTTTTTCTAAATAATACAGAGCAAATTAAAGAAAAACAACTAATGAATATCTAGAAATAGCAGGTGTGGTACAAGATAACTGACCAATATCCAAATAATTCCAAAAGCTGCTGTTAGAAAACAAGGGACATTTTAAGTATCTTTAGCAACTGGCATACAAAAGAATGCACATCTACACAGAGGAAGCTATGACTAATTTTGCAGAAAATAATTATTAAACCCAAAATATTACACTCAGTAGCAAGCAATTACACATAACAGCCCAAGAATGGCAAGTGAAAACTGGGTGACTTTTCAAAGGGGCTCTGGGACAACCCAGCAGTGCAGTATTTCTGGTCATCATTGATGTGTAATGGATGTGGCCTTCAGGATTTACAGTATCACATCTTGGTAAATCAGAACTTACTCAATGTTGGGAAAACATCACCTGCAAAATGAATCATGTGCAACATGCAGCAGGAGAATGAAGCCAAGAAAACATCAAGTTTAAAAGACTGCTGCATTTGTATTTATTTATGAAGTTCCCCATTTACCTGGAAGAGAGTGCTCTGTTTCCTGACCTCAGAAAACATCAGGTTTAAAAGACTGCATTTGTATTTATTTACGAAGTTCCCCATTTACCTGGAAGAGAGTGCTCTGTTTTTCTGTGCCTGGAGCCTTTTCTATCCAGGAATCCAGTGGTTTCAGGGTATTGGTGTTCTGGGTAACAACTGGGAACTTAGCTGCCAACGTTGGTCTGCTGGATACATGGAGCTGCTGTTCTTGCTGCACTATCTGGAGTTTTTTCAATAATTCTTGAGGTGAAATCACCCCAGAATTGGCTGCTTGATTGCCAGAGAGAGGAAGTGCCTGTCTGGGGAGTTTGGATTGTTCTTTCCCAAGCGTCTGGGCCTCTAAAGTCTGGCCTGGTAGGGACCCATTGAAATACACCAGAGGGGGCTGGCTCATGCTGTTTCCTGGTGCTGCAGGTGCTCCAACAGGAGCAGGAGTCCTGCTGAACACGGCAGCCGTCGAGTTCACAGCTCCTGCGGCACTGGGCTCCATTTTCGCCACCGATCCTGCCTGACTCTGCAATTTCTGCAGGAGGCTCTGAGCGCCAGCAGCGTCCTGAGCTCCGTGGGCCGTGGCCACGCCGTGGGCAGGCACGGGCTGGAAGAGGCCCGTGAAAGCGTCCCCGACGGGGGGGACGCCGCCGTTCTCACACAGGCGGCTCTCGGGGAGCTCGGCCAGCGGCCGCAGCTCGGTGCCCCGCACCATCAGCTTCTGGATGGCGGGGCACAGCTGCTTCTCGGCGCCCGGGGAGTGCCTGCCGGGCTCCTCGTAGGACAGCGAGCGCACCACGCCCTGCCTCGCCGGGACGCTCTCCTGGGGCTGCTTGCTGAGCGCCTCAGAGCCGTCTGCCCTGTCCTGTTTGCCAAACAGCGCCGTCAAGGACAAGTGCTGCGGCTCAGGATCCGCGTTCTGCGAGGGGACAAAGGAAAAGAGTGAACGCAGCTTCCTCCTGCAGGAGTTACATTGTTACAGACATATTTTATGAAATATCCTTTCGTTAGGATTTTTTCTCCTGAGAAGCTGAGATGCCTCAGTATTACAGCGACCCGATGAGGTCTCCAGGGTGAGAGAAGGATGAGAATCTTGTTTCATGATCAGAAGGCTGGATTTATTGATATAAGATATATAATACATTATAACTATACTAAAAAGAATAAGGAGAGAAGTCGCAGAGGCTGCTAACCTAAGAATAGAATAGAAAAGAATCCAAAACCAAGAGAATTCTCTGTCCCTGTGTTCCAGAGAGCTTGCCCTGTGATTGGCCCTTAATTGTACACATGGAACATGAACCAATCACAGGTGCATCCTATTGCATTCCACAGCAGCTGATAATCATTGTTTACATTCTCTTTCTGGGGCCTCAGCTTCCCAGAAGATGAACAAGTTCCAAAGAAAGGATTTCTATGAAAAAAATGTCTGCAACACCTCAGAAACAAAATTTCACAATAATTATCTGCTGCTGTGGAACACAACAGGTGCATCTTTGATTGGTCTCATGTGGTTGTTTTTAATTAATGGCCAATCACAGTCAGCTGGCTCAGACTCTCGGATCAGTCACAAGATTTTATTATCATTCCATTCCTTTCCTTTCAAAGCCTCCTGATGAAATCCTTTCTTCTATTATTTTAATATACCATTTTCTTTTAAAATAATATATATCATAAAAATATATATCTATATGTCACAGACATCTTTTGTGGAAAATGCTTTCTTTAGGAGTTTTCCTCTTCTGGGAAGCTGAGGCCCCGGAAAGAGAAGGTAAACAATAATTATCTGCTGATGTGGAATGCAGTAGGTGCACCTGTGATTGGCTCATGTTCCATGTTTACAATTAAGGGCCAATCACAAGACCAAGCTCGGGGACAGATTCACAGAGAGCTCTCTTGTTATGAGATTCCTACTCTATTCTTAGCTTAGCAGCTTCTGAACTTTTCTCTCTATTCCTATTAGTATAGTCTTAACGTATTATATATCATAAATTAATAAATCCAGCCTTCTGATCATGAAGCAAGATTCTCGTCTATCTCTTCACCCCTGAAGACCCTTACAAGTCATGTAACATCTATAAATAAAATATATATCATAAATCAGCCTTCTGAAACACTGAGTCAAGATTCTCATCTCTTCCCTGGTCCTGGGACCCCTGTGAACACCACATTCCATTAAGTGGTGACAATATTTAGCCAGCAGAATTCAATGAAAAGCTGAGAAAGCTGCTATACTCTTTTTTTCCCCAAGAGGATTTTTAATAGTTTTGTCACATAGGAAGGGCAAGAAGACTGTTGTCAAGCTGCTAATGTGGGAGAAAATCAGCAAATCTGAGACATAGCAGTGGCTTTGCTTTAAATAACATGAAAGAGCATCTTCTTTTACAGCCATCAGTACAATATTAGTAAGAGACAGAAATCTGCCTGTGTATGAAGTAGAGCCACTTCTTGTGCATCTGCTGGTCACAGCTGAATTCAATTTTTAGGATTTTGCACTGTGATTTGGCTTGAAGATATATGAAGAGACTTTTCTTTATTTCAATGATTTCCACTGAGGAAAAAAAAAAAAGCCAAAAACCAAACAAAACCCCACAAAGTGTGGTCGAGCAATTGACTAGATCAGCTTGTGATCAAAACATGCCGTGAAATTTGCAAGACCAATATTTCTTTGTTGCATCAGCACAGTGTGTCTGTAGTTTGTGTGTTTCCACATCATACAGTGGGGGTTAGGGAGCTTTCACAAACCAGATTAGTTGTGCTTTAAAATCATTCTTACAGTGGTTGCATCTCAAGTTCTTGCAGTGACCTCAAACCAATGTTCCTGTTGCTCAGAGCAGCAGCAGCAGTCAGAAAACACCCCAGATTTTACCTTGCCCTGCTGGGAGATTCGCTGCTGCTGGTTCTCACTCGGCTTCACTGGAATGGGTTTGATCAGGTTGGGGTTGCTGTAGATTGCAGAGGAACTGGTTATTTGTTTTGGCTCTGAGCAGGTCTTACACTGCAACACAAAAAAAGGGTTTCTTAGCATGTGTGACAATGTATTTCTCCCCAGTTCCCAACCACAGTAAAATACAGACATAACCAGGTATTCAATAACCAAAATACTAACTGCAGCACTGATGATGAAGTATTGTGCTATTAGAAGAACTGTAGCAACTGCAACCTAATTTTCTAAAACCACAAGACATATGTAAAACTGAACACTTGATTCCAGGATTTCTCTCTAATTTAAATCTCAGCTCTTTTTGGCCTTCTGCTTTTCCTGCACTTCAAAAACATAAAATACTTTTAAAAAGCACCTTAAAAACCAAGCAACAGACATGCTTTTCCTGCATGCAACAGGCAGCTAGAAGGATTAATGGGCCCATAAAGATAATTTAAAATGCTTTTGTCAAAAAGTAGAATAACAACTCTTAACTCTTTTACATAAATCTTCACATGGTAGGAACTGGTAGGATGCATATACATGTACAGAAAAGTAATTAAAGATTTAATCAATTTGTAGAATAAGTAGGATTTCTTATTATGAAAAAGATGGTCAGAGACAGATTACTAAAAGTGATCAGGGACAAAAAATGTTATGTGGAGAGAGAATGGCGTGACTTAATTCAGAAAAAACACATAAAATGCTCTATGAAAGAGAAAAAGTAAATGGAAAAGGAAAATGTGAATAAGATGCTATACATAACATACATAAGATGCTATACATAACAATATAGTCAATGAAACTAAAAAAGCATTCTACTGTTGTCAGTAGAAAAGAAGACAGTCTCTTAGAAGTCATTGTCCCTTGATACAGTTGAAACCAGGAAACTGGAAAGATTTTTAGAAGAATTATTTAACAAGAAGCTAATAGAATTAACTATTAATTCTAACCCCACTCAAATATACAAAGCTGATCACTTAACCCATTTCTGACAATAAACAAATAAAGACATGCTGGTTCCAGGGCTGCCCAGGAAAGCAGAACTGGAGTTCTTGTGGGGACTTAAGGGGCTTTAGTAGATCCTCAATAATTTCACTTGTTTGTCAGATTGGACAGACCCTACATGGACCAAAACTGCATTTCAGTAAGATTAAATAGCTGGGGTTTTTTTTCCCCCCAAACAGTTCTCTTTCTAATGGTTCTGCCTTTTCTTCAATGTATCTTCTTCTCATTGCTATTTTCCAGCCCAACCTGTTGGCAAAAAGCACATACATTTTTTCTTTAACGCCACAGATAACATCCTCTTGAATATTTCCCAGTGAGTTCTGCAGAATTTAAATAATACCCTTATTTCCTCAGGATATTTTAATAGGCTGAATTCCTCAGAAACCTTAAGTACCTTAGATTCCACTGTCATACCCTGCATAATCACAGCACTAAGCCTATAAAAATGAGGTGAGAAGCAGTAGTGTTTAACAGAGTCATCACTACATGAGCATATTTTAGACCAAATTCCTCAGCCAAATGAGCATCAGTACACACAAGAATGACATTGACCTGACTTGGTATCATTGCTGTGACTTGATAACAAGGCTAGTAGGTTGCTATCAAACACAGAAGCACATGGAGGAGAAAAGAAGCCTGTGATGATTCCAGAGGCATCTGTAACTATTGGAGCTCAGAATTTAAAGCCATTTTGGCAGATGGGAGCACAGCCTGGCTGGTGAGGAAGTTGGGAGCACTAGCATGGCATTTTAAGCACCTGTCAAGTGGACAGGTAAAGAAGATATCAGATGCTATTATCAACAAATAATAGCAAAGAGCAGCATGAAAGAAATCCCACCATGCTCTGTAGTGAGAGAACCAGAGAACATCTGGCAATTCCTACACCTTGCTCACAGCTCTGTCCTTTAGTCAGCTGTCCTGTTCAAAGCCCTGCTGCTACCAAAGATTGCTAAGTAACCAAAAGGGTCTAAGATCAAGTCAAAGAAAGGCTCAGCAACACTGGAACAAAACTAGACACATATGGTCCATGTGGATCAAAAAAGCAAGAAAAAAATCACTGAGGGGGTTTTGGCAAGCTTGGTAGAGTCACAGATATTCAAAGCAAACAACAGCTCTGTGTTGTGAGATTGATACTCCACCTGTACAATATGAAGCTGGAAATGGTAAATGCTGGGAGAGGAACTGTGCAGCACAGAGTTCACCCCAGAGCTTGGGCTGCAGCACAGGACAAGGCACAATGGGAAAGGACAAACCCATTTTGTCATGATTTGTTCTCTACCCTTGCAGCTCTTGAGCTGGTTTCTCCCTGGCTGTCAGTGGGGCCAGCTTTTCCTTACCAGAGGTCAAGAGAAGGCAAGTGTGTAAGAAGTAGATCTAAAAAAATAACTCAGTGGTTTGGCAACTTAAAGCTCCATCAATTCAAAAAGGAAGAGAAAGCTGTGTGTTTTATTTTGCGTGTAATGTAATCTCCAAATGTATAACATAATTTGGGAACAAGGAACTTCAAAATGAGTTACACTCTTAAAAATTGAGTAAAATTCCTTAAAATTTTGAAAATTGATGCTCTTGAACTGATTCTACAGCTTCCAACACTTTAAAACACTCTTCACTGAATAAACACAATTCAAAGAAGAGAACAACATATTTCATAACTAATTTCAGCAGATCAGACTGTAAGTAATAAAACATACGTTGACAAGCAAGTAGATGTCATAAACCAGTCAAAACCCATGACTGCTCTGAAACATATTGACATTAAATAGAAAAATGGTTGTCATTGCCTTTATTTATCACACTCTTTAGAAATTTATATTACTAGCAATACAAGAAATCATACACATCCTGTTCATGAGAGGTCAGGCATTCATAGCACTCATGTCCCAGATGAGGAGGAAGTTTTTATGTTATTTTTTTATGTCCTTGGCAATCCCTTAAATGCAGAAAGATTAAAGATAAAGTAAGAAGCAAATCTGAAAAAGATTCTAAAGGGAAAAGAGTCCTAAAAGCTATTATTTAAACAACAGAATTTCCTCTCCTTTGTCTTGTTTCCTGTGTGCTTATGCAGAAATGGAAGGAAACATCTTTTAGATTTATCACCCTCTTTTCACAGAATCTGAAGACAGCCTAATATTTTCCAGTTTTCCATCTGCAGTATTTTTAAGGTTATCTAATGAAAACCCTTTAAACATTTCAGAACATCTCAAGTCATATTCTCTGATGCCAAGATTAGATAATGATTCAGTATTAAAAGATGGGAAAAATACCAGGTTTTGCAAGTGTTTGTCCACTATAATACATTAAATCTCTACTACAGAAAATACAAAGCCCCCAAGCTTCAACAGAAACAACACACAATCAAAATTTAGGCTCCATTTCACCCTAGCTCAAAACAGTTTGCATCATCTTTCTGAGGATTTTATTAGTAGCTACATTTCAGAAAAATAAACACAAGAAATGTAAAGAGATAAAAGTTAAGATGTATGTACATTGCCAGACTCTCAGGGAACACTGAGGAGCTCTATTATTGCATGACAGCACATAAGCAATACAGGAAACAGCAGCAGGAACCTGCAGGCTCTGTAACAATTTGTAGCTTATATATAGATAGTTAAAATTATTAGATTTTTATTCCCCAAAGTAAAACGTTTTTGATTGCTCAATAATAGAGAACATTATTAGTCCATTAGTTACTTCTTTATTTAGAAGCCTCAGAAGACCAAAGCAGCACACGGGCTGAAATCATACTACATTTCAACCTTTTCATTTCCTTCCATTAGTGCCTGAAAGGAGCTAACAACCACAATTAAAAGCAGTAACTTCACTGTCAAAAGTCTCCTGAACCAAGTCCTTTGTGCAAAGCACAGAAACCACAGCAGGTAAATACTTCAGCCAGAACGAGGGCACAGCTTGCAGGGGCTCCTCAATAGCCACAAGAGCTCTAAGGGTCAGATGAAAGGTAATTTATACTTGCTCTGAGCCTCTGCTATTCAACAATTCATCATATCCACATTCTCCTGCCAGAACTTGCTATTGACAGCACTAATTTCTTTTGAATTTTTAGCAAATTCTGTCAAAAAAAATTTTACCAGCCACTTCTACAAAAAATGAGAGAGCACACTGTCCAAAATCCCCCTGAGTAGAACTATTCCAAACCCAAAATCAAACCTTTTATGTTTCATACTGTAAAGTGGGAGCAAGTCTCACCTTGGTATACTCATCTTTGGCCTTGGTAAGCATCCTTAAGATATCCACTTCTTTGTTATTGGCAGAATTCATGATCATGGGGGACACCCCTGTTCCTGTGCCCTGCTGTGCTTTGAATTGTTCCTGCTGAGTTAGGCTGAAAGGTGGAGGATATATGAGAAAAAAAAAGTACAAATAAAACAAAAACTTAACCACAATTACTGTACAATACTTAATTGAAACTCAAATATTTGTCTTTCCCCATCTACATTAAAATGTGCAGTTAAAAAATCCCTATTAAAAGATCTCTATAAAATCATAATTTGACATAAGATTAATTTTCTCCAATCTTGACTACACTAGACCATAGAATAAAATTTCCATAACTGAGTCACAATTTCTATACCCAGAAGGAGCAGGGAATTTATAGTGTTATTCAGTTCTGCTGGTGGTGGAGGATGGCAAACACACACACAAATCAGGCATTAAGTACTAGCAAATGACCAATTTCCTGCCCCAGCTGTTTTATTATTATTGTAGAATGCTGAGAATTAAAACACACAGCCAATTGGCTGAGCAACAGGGTATTTTTTATCTATATGAAATACTGCTATTATAAACCACTACACATGGTTTACATTTGCATGAATCCTCTGAAAACTAGGTTTTATTGTAGTAAATTACCAGTTTGAGAGCACCTAATCACCACCAACTGAAACTTGAGCTAGTTAACTAAAATGAGCCGTCAAAAACCTGGGCTTCCTAGGGTTCATTGTTTATTTCTGTAAATTCATCCCCATCAATTATTTCTTGGGTCACAGCTGACTCATTTTAGAGCTGTAGGATATACAGCAAAACCAACAAACCCCACTGAACAAAACCCCACCACTGTCCCAGTCTGCATTTCACACTGTTTTGTCACTGCAAAATGAAAAGCAGCAGGTATTTCTTCAAAAAAAGGATATATGGAGGAAAGATAACTACCTTCCCATCCAGTATTTTATCACAAATCCTACCTGGTGTCTAATCCTATATACCACAGGCAGCTGGAATAGCCATCACTGCCTGTTCCTACCCAGCCCCTTTACAACATCCTCCCCATTATAGCTCTGAAAAATGTAGATTGCATATGTTGATAAAATCTGTATGACTTCAGCTCCCTTGTTCTCCAAGCAAACATGAAAACCTGCAGGACACAGTCCTAAAAAAAAGGGTCCCTGCAAACAACACAGAAAATTGAGCCCTGTCTATCCTGGACATGAGAAGAGAAGAGTGATATTGAAAAAAGCTATATGACATTCTTAGGATAAAATACAGCTGAGAACACAGTTCTGTGTGAAATCTTCACCTCTGGCTGGACTGCAAAATTAAAGTTAAACATTTAGAAAAACACATTTTTATGTGCATGAAAGCAATGAGTTTAAAGCTAATTGAAGTCTTGCTTTAAATGCCAAAACCAAAGTGAATTTTCTATCTATTGCTAAGAAATGAGGAAGCAGGGATTCAGCCATGCTGTAAAAACCCCACAGAAATTGTATCAATACAGCATGCCCTCCTGATATCCTCTACTTACCTTAATATAAGGAAAAAAAAGAAAGATAACAATATTAAAAAATAAAATCTTCCCAAATTGAAAGAGATATTAAACCCCCAAAGAATACAATTCTTCAAAATAGGTCTCTGAGTCATCAGGAAATAAATCATATCAACTGGTACACTCTGATGTAGCTGGAGAGCTGCACTACAAATTAGGAAAAATTACTGCAATACAGTGACTTATTTATGATTTTATGAAATGCAGGCTTGACACTTGCAACAAAGTTTGTAAGTTGAAAGTATAAAGGTATTATAATCCTAAAACCAAAATGGGCATGTATGTACCAGAAAATATACATTAAAAAATTTACCCATCACTTACTTTTTCATGAGCTCTGCAATTCTTTGGCATTCTTCTTTATCATAAAACCAAATCCCATATATGGACACTGTAAATGCACATCAAACACAAACTGTGAGCATCTTCTCAAAGAGCAACTCTTCCTGGTAGATATTTAAATGTGACCTGCAAATTAATCTTCAAATTTATTTTCATCTTGTGTTTTCCCCATCTAGAAACACAAAATGACACCTCAGATCCTATAAAATCAAAAAAGATGAAAGGCACATCTCTAAGCATTCAGATTACAAGCTCTTAAATACTCAATTAAGGCAAAGGTATTTGATCCTTTTCTTCAGAACACTAAACCAGTGGGGGTTTTTCTTTAAAATCTTTTTCTCTGTGCTTTATTTTATGTCATATCCATTTGGCTCCACTACCAGCATGCTGCAGCGAGCATTGCATGCATATGGAAGGAGGAAAATCTGTTTGGTTTTCAAAGAATGTTCAGGTCTATCTTACAGAGCATCTCTACCTCCCTGGAGATTTGCTGTGATTCTGCCCATTGTTTTCTGCAGGAGATCCAGGGTTTCCTCCTCCTTCCCTCCCTACCCTACTGCAGGCAAGAGTTGTCTCTCAACCTTACCAGGAATTGGCAGTTCCTGCCATGTCTTCCAGCATTTCATTTGAAAATGGACTTAATTTGACATGGGTTGAGCACCTGTTCAAAAACAATTGCAACACTGACCCTGATGATGTAATAATTTCTAATATTAGGAGAGTCCAAAAGCAATAACTCCTTCAATTCCACAGAGTCAAACCTGTGGCATATGAAGTGTACCTTGGCTTTGTTAATGTTTGGAAAGAAAATGAATGTACAGCTGCTTGCAAGACATAACTATATGATTATTTTCTCCATCTCCCCCAGAATTTAAAGCTATGTGTTGTCTTCCATACAACTAAAAATGGTCCTAGCTGTTTAATACACATCACATTGGCAAAAAGTCTAAAATATCACACAAATCAGACATCCTGTAGGCATACAAAAATTACCTTTTAAAATACATACTGTCCTTTTTATGATTATTGAGAAGTGTTATGATTTCTATTATTCACCTGAAAAAGGCAAGTAACATAATATGCACCAGTGGTTCTACAAATGTGCAATTTAAGAGCTGAACTGCACAAGTAATCTCAGGTTTTTTAACAGAAATATTAAAATATGCATTTCAAATGCACATTAATATTCTAGCATGTTCCAATGGGTGTTCAATGATAAACTGTGCACCTGTAGAAAAGTGTTTGAACAACTCACAAGGTTCCAGAACACTGACCTGTTATGCAAAATTCCACATCCTTCTGATGGAACACATTTGAACATTTGTCCAAATCACAAGAAACTCCATATTCCTCAATGCAACAGCACAGCAAGCAGACTGAGAATCCCAGACAAACCAAATTTGTTTTAATCAAGATTCTCATTCTTTATAAAAGATTTTCCAATGGAGAAGAGTATTGATGAAATTTTGGCCATCTGCTCCATCTTCCCAAATTTCTTTTATGTCTGCCACAGCTGGTGGCACCATCAATTATGCAGCACAGGTTGGACAGCTTCACCTTTGGCCAACAGAACAGACATGTCACAGACTACTGATGAATACCTAATAAATCTGAAAGCTGACAGTCCCTTGGAAATGCCAAACTGCTTCTGGCCATTAGAAGCTGCAAGACTCACACTGCCTTGCTTCTGCTGCTGATTTACCTCAACTCGGAGACAAACACAAGTAAACTGATAACCAGAATAATGACCAGAATAATTTCAGATTTTACAGAGCTACAACTAATATTTTGAAATACAGTTGCAACAAATACAAACCTCTTTGGATCAGAACAAGGGCACTGGGTCTGTGCCACCAAACCAAACCACACCACCACCCAACAACAAATCGCATCTTAACTCAAGTTTTAAGTTAGGATACTGCAGATCCAGAGACCTTTCACCTAGAGTTTAGCTGAACTTCAAACCCATCCACATTTATTTCTCCCCTTGGTTAAATGGTACTTCCAACCCAAATTAGGAAGCACAGCTGAAAGCAAGCTAAGAGCAAAGCCCAACATCCTGTGAGCTTAGAGCTCACCCAGTCAGTGGTGAAATCTTTCAGAAGTGGACGGTCCTACTGCTCTTCCTTCCACACTGCTCCCATCTGCCCAGAGAAGATGGACACTTGAAATTCACTGAGAAACAATCCCTGAGCTTGTGGCAGCACAACACACCCTGAACTCTTTTATGCAGGTGAGAGTGAGGGACCAGTGAGAACACAGCAACTTGTGGAAATCTGAGATACCTGAAGTAACCATGGCATAAATTCACTATATTCTCCTGTAATCTGTATTTAAGAGAAAAAAGTGTAGGTAATAGTAGTAAGAATGAGTATTCATGGCCTCCATCTTGATTAGTGATGAAGACAAAATGAAAAAAAAAATTCTTATGTGTGTGGCAACACACAAAACCCCACAACCAGAATGAGAACCCAAGCTGATAACCTGTAACTGTCTGGGAACCTGGCACACTCACAGACACACAATACAAATTCACTGCAAGCTTTCTACCAGCATGAAAACACTGCCTGTTTTATCAGGATTAAACATAAACAGATTACTTTTATCTCCCTTCCCACTCTGTCAGACTGTTTGACAAAATAGAATTTCACATCTAAGTATCATGTGTAGAGTGGTAATTTCATGTTCATGTTAAAAATGAATCACAAAACAGAGACACAAAGCAAATTTTTCCACTGCCAAACAGAACAGGAAATATTAAGGCACTTTAGGCCCAGCCTCAACCATAAAGTTATGTAAGAAGAGATTGTAAAAAACAGAAAAAAAATAAAATCAAAGTCAAGTAATGAATTGATGACATTAAAAGGAAAAAAAGTGCCACAATTACAATGTTGTTAACAAGATTACACAAAGCTATGACATAATGCAGCTATGAAATCAAGAAGATCCAATTAACATTGAACGCGAAGCTAAATAAATTACTGAAATAAACTGACTGAAATTATTAATTATTAAGGGTATCAGTCTTTAGAATTTTTAGAATTTCTAAAAGGCAGGCCACTCATAAATGAAAACTGAAAATTTTTACCCAAATCTGTGAAGCTCCTTTAATAGCTCAGTGACTGAATTTCAGTAAGGGCACTATTTAAGTTTGAAATCACGACTTCAGAGCCAATTCGAAAGCTTCCGCCTTACAATTTTCATTTTTTTGGCTATGGATTTCTCCTGTCCTCACAAACACTAGAACACTTGATGCTATTTATATGCAGAAGCTGACAGCTGCTATCTTCCAGAATTATAGATAACAATTTCCAACCTCTCAATATTTGAAACATTAATTTAGTTTTTACGATAATACAGAATTTCTTATCAACCTCAATCATTCGTGTTAAGTATTCTATTAAAAAGAAAGGTATTTTCCAGGATTACTTTTTTTCCTCTTCATTATTCCAGTGATTAGATTTTTGTCTTCTGGATAGACATTTCCATTATGAAAGCTTTTGTTTCAGTGTACCTGCAACATGTGATTTTTAAGCTACTCCTCCACAGACTGCATAAAATGGATACAGAAATAACTACTGACTAGAGATTCCCCTGTACCTAGGTTCTGTTTTATACTTGCTGGTATTAAAAATAAATAAATAAACACCAAGTCTGAATTTTTTGTGTTTATTCTTGATTCCATGCTTAAAGTATTTTGGTCTAAGTATAGTCTAGACTCTTGCTTCTGAATATGTAAATCCACACTTGGCTATGTTAAAAAGAAATTTCTGTATCCATGTCTTGCAAGGCAGGCAGACACCTTGACATTGCTATGTTTAGGACTGCAACAAGGGAGAAATATAAAAAACCTGAGCACAGACAGCTGCACACTATCCTGGAAAGCTGAATTCCATCCCAGAGATGTTATGCAATGATACACAAGCTGTGAAATGTTATCTGAAGTGGCTGCACTGGCTGTGTGTGCTTCATTTCCCGGTGGCTGAGTCGAGATCCTGGACCTGGGTGCAAGACTTGAGTGTGTGGCCTGAAAAAACACCCATCCAATCCCAATCCAAGTCTGTAAGAAATTTTTTTGAACTTATGAATAATAAATACACTGGAAAAAATTTGGCTTGAGTAATTAAAGTCAGACACTCCATTCTAATGGTAACTACTCTGCCCCAGGATCTCAATTTGTGAAATGGGAAGAATAATATTTATAATCTGAGCAAGGTAAGACAGTTCCCTTTGTTCATGAGTTACCAGCTTTATAGTGATGATTATTGGAGAAAACAACTCAATAATTCTGACTCTAGTGCAGAACTCCAGTGGCATATAACAAAGGCCATGCACGAGTAATGAGGAAAAACCAGAATACTGAGTAGCCTCTCGATGTGAACACCACTCCAACTGTTTGATAGCTGAAACAAAGTCCTTATTGCAAAAGAAGAAAACCACACAATATAAAAGTCCATAAACAGAGAGATTGCACAACCAGCCTTAACTCTGGTATTTCCTAGTTTAGGAGTCCTAAAGTTCTTTTAGCTCTAAGCAGGCTTCAAATTCTTTCAAACACAAAATTTTGCTCTTTAGATACTTAAACCCAAAACACTAGAAAAAGATTTCAATTTTATCCTGTTATATCACATTGATAGAAATGTGGCTCATCAACAGAACTGGAATTTTTAGGCCTCTTGCCTCTCAACATTGTGCAAAGCTGCACAATACAAAATATGTATTAGGTAAATATATTTGTTTCTAAATAATGGAAATTTCTCTCTGGCTAAATCCTGGTATTTCTAGATTTTAAAGAGAAGTCAAAATTTTAATGATTCCTCAGGCATAAAAATGTCAATAAACTGAAGCAAGGTAAGAGTTTTTCAAACAACAAAAATGTGTATCTTGCTATGAGCTTAACCTAAATTCCTAAAAAGTTCTGAAAAGGCCCTGCCTGTTAAATTATCAGACAATTGTTCTTTCATTTAAAGGCTGATAAAGCTCCCGATCCACTCATTTGGAGAACTGTTAACAAAGACAGGGAAAAGGATGACTTGGTATTTCCATTAT